TTTCCAACCCTTTTGATTAGACACGCGACTTGAAAGTGCCTGCAGCCTTTAACAAGGCAACTTGATGAAAATACGCGGTGTCGTGTGGAGATTCTTCATCTGCTGTTCATGTTGTTTGTTATCATGTTCTGCGCAAATCGACCGCTATGAACACAGTCACGAACAACTTTGTCCGGTATGTCAAAGACATGTCAGGAATATTGCGAGCAACTCAGCAAATTGTCCCAATATTCACTGAGGTCCAGTCTGTTCTGCCGCGTTTCAAGTTTCAGACAGTTCTCTTGTAGTCCTAATGATCACGTTTTCTAATGCAGTCCATCACGCGCCTTTTCGTACAAGGCTCAGTTACTATAAGACCCTTCTGTAAGTAACTTCCATCCTAGAGGATAAATAAGACTCAGGAGTTTGCATATATATGTAAGCACACTTTGGCTTATACCTGCAAGCCACTTTTAATTAATTCATTTTGATATCCACGTTGAACTGGGTTAATGGTGGTTTCGAATAATAAAGCTACTCTGCCACAGGCATTTGAAAATAAAAAGTAGCATCCTGCCTCCACTTTTTTTCTTTACGGTATTTGCCATACTTCAAGTTTCTCATCAAGAAGCAGACCAACAACAGTGGAGAATGAATTAGTCGCACAGCAATTTCCTACATGCCTTCAATAAGCTGTTTTCAAAGTAAAGAATGGAAAGGGTCGAACCCAAAATGTACCATCACACCAGCAAAGTTTGGAGGGTGACAAAACCACCTCCGTCCGCTATATACTCACGTAGGTTTCCCTGTAACACGGCCAGTGTGAGCGCAGACTTGCCGTTCCGATCGCTCTGGTTGATATCCAGGCCGGTCTCATGCTTAGATTCCAACACTTGCTCCACGTAACTCACATCGCCGTCCCGTACCGCCGTCAGAAACCTCTCTTCCTGGCTGATCGGGTTGACCGTCGCCATCTTTGCTCCTGTTTCCCCGGTAAAGTGATGGCTGGCGGTTGTTTTTTTCACCTCGACGTGGATTCACTGAATTTCCTCGCTAGGTATTTATTAGCCATTGTGCGCGACTACACTGCCGTATATGTGCCCATTCAACACGCTTCTGTCGGCTTTTTAAAAGTGGATTTGCATGTGCACCATACTAGTGTAACCAGTGTACCTTGCATTCAACGCATCTACCCAAACCAGGACACGGGCCACTGCTCTTCAGTGGTTTGTTTCCCGTTTCCTGCTGATACGGCATTAAATACGGACGACTGGTTTCTTTCATAGTACGACAGGAGACGAGTGGCAAAATGAAACTCTCCTGTGCTCTGGTGGTATTCGCCACCAAGGTGTATACTGACAAACTTTAATGACAAGGAAAGGAGCAGCTGTCACTGAGCCAGAACAACGGGAAGGCATCAATGACTGCAGTACAGGGAGCGGATCGATTCAGATTTTGTGCAATGGATTCACTCTTGGTAAACATTTTCAAGGTTTTTTTTCCATCATTTGGTAAATATGAGAAAACGGACCAAAAAGACTTCAGAGATAAGTAATGAAGCAGAACCTGCTTGTTCAAGGCATGCTTTAGAAAACCTTCAAACTCGGGCTGGAAATGTAGTTCTAAAATATAAAGCAAATAACAATTAGTATCACCTGTAACAATATTTTTGATCGCTGTGGCTTGAAGGATTTATTGCGAATGGCTGGTCGTAGCAGAACGAAATAAACCCAAGGAATCGGATCGAAAAAGATTCTTCCTTTGTTGTCGGGGACAGTGGACTGCCAGATTCTGCAGACATCGATTAGTTTGTCACTACTTTATCATGTATTTGAAGTTACGAGCAACGTTGTACCAGTGCATCCGGTTTAATACGGCATGGGCGTTAATTCCTAAGTTTGACCGAAGGGAAGGATCTTCACCCAGTTTTTGGTGATAATAACAATAACTCCCCAACAGCCAAAATTGAGAACAAACGATAAATATACCTTAAACCACCGTTTAGCTTCGCTCTTAAGCCATGTCGGCTCGCAATACATCTGCGTTCCGATTCTTTGGGAATCGTTTGCTCCGGCAACCTCCACAATCCTGTGACCAAACGGGGGGGGGGTGTTCTGAAATATATTACAAATTGACCGAAATCAACGAAAACCCATTTCGTTGTTTTAGGCCGGGGTTCCCTTGCCAGCATCAACAATTGTTGGGCATGTAGGCCTATAAATCAAATTTCGACAAAAATACTAATTTTAAATTTTCTTTTGCATATTGGTTCCACTTTTGCACAGCCAGTCTAGCGGATGTGAGCTTGCTACATCAAAAGAATAAAGAATCCTTAAATGCAGGTGACGTCGCAAGCCTAAATTGTTTCTGTGAACCATATGAAAGGGAAGCCCCTAATTTCCGAAATTGAAAGATCATTGTTTCTTGCAACAATTAAAATAAATACAATTTACATTTTGAGAAATTAATACCCTGGTTACCATTTCTACAAAGGCTTTTTGTTTTGGAGGTGAGTTTGCAAAACATTATCTAGAAACAATCGCAACTGTTGAATAATTGCACCTTATTTTTGCAATTCAAGGGCTTCTGGAAGTGCGCCACCAGCGATCAACGTTCTGGTTCCACAGAGTTATAGTTGCCGTTGTTTTTTGGGGTTTTTTTTATACGTTCTCTTCCACGCTTTGTTCTTTAGAAAGTAAAACGTCTTATTTCTCCGTTTCCACAGTTGCATATTGTGCTGTATTTTATAGACGTATGAAATGATTTTACGAAATCAAACTAAGTTGGCTTTATTCTTACAGATGCAAGGTCTCCTGTCAAGGATTCGGTTAGTGTATTTTCGTTAAGAATAGGCAATGCCTATCGCATCGATCGTCTCGACAAAAGGTCAGCCGTCATTACATTACTGCAGCAGGTCTGGAGCGTGCGATCCAGCGAGGCGCTGACCTTTCATTATTGTATCTACAGAGGGGGTACTTGATGAAACACAAGCATTCCGGTGTGACAACAATGGGATCCGAGATTTCCTCTAAAGTTAGTCTTTGAATTAATGTTTCTCTTCGAGATAAAAATAAACTTGTATCGATTTGTAACACACCACGAAAGGGTCTTAGTGTTAAGGCACTCTGAAAATGTTCTACAGTAAATTTTGTTTGCTTTAACATTTGCTACGTAGATAATTTCCCCGGCGAGGAGTAGGCGGAAATGGAACTCCTGCCAGCCCCGTTTCTGTTTCAATCCGTTTTCCAGTGGTTATCAGAAAAAAAGGCCAACTTTGTTTCCCTTCAAAAAGTTATTCAGGGGACTTTTCAATTCGCTGCGTTTAAAATCTTGCTTCAATTCTACTGTCGCACAACTCGTTCAAATCCCTCTGAACCTTTAATGCACTGTAAAGGTTACAAGATACGTGTCCCTTCACCAATGCTATTGACTGATTTCATTTTCTTATTTGAAACACCGAAAAATCCGTCTTTGTAAATAATGAACCGGAAGTTAGGTATAACTACAAAAATGCGCATGACTTGGCCCACTCCCAAAGATCTATAGATTTAAAATTCATAAAAATAAAAAGTGCTAAATGAAAAATATCTTCACCATTTTTTATTTCTAGTCCGTTGTCAGTCCTTGCCAGATTGTGGGCCGTCACAAGACAATTTTTCACTGAAGAGGAGTTTTTTGTAATAATGTTGGATGTCTACAATACACATTATTTAGAAGAAACACCAACTGACAGGGCAAAGTTAGTAAACGGTCTATAGACAATTCCGATGCCCACTGTAACGCTATCACGGGTCACAAGCTATGGCCTCGGCCGATGGTGGTTGACATTATAAAACTTTTGCACTGAGCTCTGACCCATTACTTGGATACAGTCGCTCCGCGCAAGACTTAGCACATTTTTTGCCAACATTTTTTGAAGGGTAAATCTTAAAGGTCGAGTAAAATGCAGCCATAATAAACTCAACAATTTTTTAATTTATTAATTATTTATTAATTTTTGCTCCTACATTGACGTTTATCATAACACTGTGTGCTCAGTTTTGTTCAAGAGATCGCAAAAAATCCACAAAGTTCTCTATCTCTCGGAAAATACTGAGCCCAAAGTGCTATGAATACATGTCAGTTTAAGGGCAACAACCCATAACTGAAACTTAACCTCTCCCTGACGACACATCCTTGGAAATCAAATAAGTGTTGGTATTAACCCTTAATATTGGAGAGGTAGCAGGCCCTGTGAACCAAACGGGAATACATTGTGAGAGCACGTAGTTACAACTGGTACAAATGGAGGCATCGTTGGCGGTTAACCATTGGACAGTTCTGCACACCGCCATCTAGCGGTTCGCCCAGTTTTTTTCCTTATAAAGGCTTTTTGCGCACGACTAGCAGTCCATGAGCTTGTCGTTAGATAGTCGTGTTTCTGAACTTCAGTCGAAAAACATCAGTGTGATTATACCGAGTTTCGACTGAACTGGATAGGCAACCAAGGTAATCAACGCTCCAGCGCAAATGTTTAGGTGCACAGTGTGGATCATGTAGGAAACTTACTCAATGAGCCTTTTGCGGGTTAAATTTGAATAAAAATCTGTATACTGAGTTATCTGATTGCACATTATACATGACAATTTGAATTCCCCAGACTTAAAACACTGTTGCTATTATACCTCGTGATTCAGGGCAAGCTTAGCGACCACCATCTCTGGAATGGACTGTTCTGTTGCGCCCTTGTTTAATCCACTGAAAACAGCGTATCGGTGCAAGGAGTCTCTTATGTCACTGAGCAAAAGAATGCTCCTAATCACGAGGTATAGCAACAGTGTTTTTAGTATGGACAATTAGAATTGTTATGTTAATTTATGCAGATTTAAAACTTAGTGTGCCAGATTTTATTCAAGTTTAACTCGCAAAAGGCTTATTACCGACTTGGCAAAAAGTCAGGTACTTAAAGGCCTGTTTGTACCTGCAGACGAATGCCTAAGGAAGCAAATTTGATGTCACCAAAAAAGAATCCAGTGAATTTCCGCCCAAGTTAAAATGTGTTCAGCTTTTTAGGAATCTGCATCCAAGTCTGTTACCTAGAGCTAGGTCTAGGTCTTCACTCCATTGGAAATATGGCAAGACGTGCATACAATAGACCTAGCCGTAGGTTTAGGAGCCCGTTTCGAACATAGCCGTTATCAATTAAATAAATATATTGACAAAGTGGTACTTCAGCTGGACGCTGACGTTTCATACGTTTTATCAGCTGGGTGATGGACTATTTCGTTCATAGTGGAATCAACATGGCTTCTAATGTTAAATTGTCGCAACTCTCTCTATAGATAGTTCTTGATAGAGTATCAGCGATGAGTTCAAGCGACAAACTTCAGTCTACCCCTCTTTTCCATGGTAACCTGAACACTCTTTACACCCAGGGTACCAAGCAAAATCGGCCAGTAGTTCCGAAATGGTGGTTGCTTGAACTCGCTCCAATCTGCCTCCATCCCAGCGTGGACCTCTTTCCTTCGTCTTTGTCTTTCATCGCAGACTGGAGTCTGTTGACAACTATTACGGAGCATTGCTAGTCAGCCACAGCGCACGCGCTGTAGCTAGTCCAGACATTTTATAAGACGCCCGTGCAACGGAGTAGAACGCGCGTTTATCACGGACATGTACAAAAAAAACCATGGACTTGCAACGCCTTTGTATGAAATAGAAGCCAACCAGCGGCCATTTTACCGAGCCCAATACAAATGCGCGGGTTGGCTCGCTGCTATTGACGCCAGGGAGAGCAATTAAAAAATTAAAAAGAATGGCTTATCACTTTCTGCTACACCTGTTAAGACATGGCAAAAATTGAACCTAAGTTTTGACTCGATCAAACTTATCTGCAGCTACTGCTTCATGACGTCAAAAAATGCTTCTCTTCTGCTTTTGGTCGATGTAGGAATCAGCCTTCAAGGCCAATTCTAGACGCCGTGCCTCTGCCGTGTCGAACTTAATTCAGATGAGTGTGGCAATAGCCCGGCAATAGCGCCGCAGTTCCGCCAAACGCCGAACTGAAAATGAGCCGTGTCTTGCCACTTCCATTGGGAACGACGATAGCGCAGCATATACCAGCATATATGGCTGCAGAAACATTAACTATTCTTGGTTTGGAATTCCATTACTGCCGTTTACTACGGCGCATCGTCATATCGTTGCATCGTCGCATCGTCGCTTTACCATTATCAAGAGCTTTTTTTCAGCAGTATTTTTCTCACTTTATTTCTCACACTCATTTCTCACACTCATTTCTCACAGTTTTTCACTTTTTAGAAAGAGTTAGCTCACTAGGCCTGCTGTTCTTCCTATCCCCAAGTTCTGAAGATGCTTAAGGTGCATATCCAACCAACTCAACAGCGGGGTGCCTCCTTTATTCCTGAAAACTGTGCATTCGTTTTGACTTGTCCATGGTACCCGACCATTACAGTGTACAATGTGATTACGTGGAAATTCAATAATGTAGGGACAAAAAGAGTTCTAGTGTCCCAGTTACTCGGACCATACTCTGTGCTTCGACTGTGTCTCGCCGGAAGTACAATAAATCATTACACAATACTCGTTTTCAATTTCTTTTTCCGGGTAGATTAAAATCCCCTCTTCCAAACTAAACGACAGTTCAAAGGGGCGCCTCTTTCAAATTGTTCGCCCTCTAAGACACTACATGGATAGGCTTAGTGCCAAAATGCGACGATGCGCCACTGTAAATGGCAGTAATCAGAATGTGTGGGTCAGTCAGGGAGAACCATTTTGTGACAAATCGCGGTACATATTAAACACCAAGATTATTTTTGTCAGCAAAACAATTGGTCTCCAATTACCAAGAACTCCGGAAAGAAGGCTATTTGCAAAACAATCAGAAGTGTGATAAACCTACTCTCCCATGAACTGATAGCATATCCACCACCTACAGTTTCTGTAACAAAGGAAAAGCTGTTTAAATTTTTACCATATCGAAATCAAGTTTAACGATGTTTCTGGGTCTACATAGAACCCCAGAGGCGAGTAGCAGACAGAGAAGCGCGCACGTCACCATCGTGCTTAAAGGTCCGCGCACTCGAATTGAATCAACCATCAGAGAATTGAGCAACCGTCAAAGGGAAACGTTGTTGTCTGCGCACCAAACTGCATTCTGAACTATCAAAGAGAAAATTGGGTGTTTATGGCCGTTTAATATTAATGTTGAAACTGTAATTACCGGTAGGCTTCATTTCAAACATTAAATATGCAGCCAGGGGGATGACTTTATAATTATTTTCATTGCATGGAAAGATTACTTACGCTGCGACTAGAATTTTGTCGAACTGCAAAGCCTTTACAGACTTCAATGCACTAGCTGGTATCTTTTTCCATTTGTTTCATATCTTTTCCATTTGTTTCGTTTTGTTTCTCATAGAATAAAACAGCGACAAACAATGAGCTCATTTACAGTCCTAAGTATGTCACTGAAAGCCTTTGAACGGTAATTTTAAAGTCATTCAAAGTCCTTTCATGGCATGTACCAGCATTATACAAATTTGCAGATGCAAGGTTATCTTATCTGCATAATATGATTGGCCCGCTGGTTGCAACATTTGAAGAAACCCTGCATATTACAGTGCCGAAAATATAAATACTATTATTGCTTCTGCTGTCCCTTTTAATTGGCTGCTTTATACAAATTCCTCTTTTCCTATACAACCCCTAATCGTCACAATCAAAGTGATGAATAGCTCAAGAGGAAGAAGGATTTTCCGGAAACTTTTTCCACACAGTTCCCGGCTCACGTTTCGTTTCATCTGCAGCAATATCGATCACTTGCCCTTTTATCACTTCGCCCATTTCCTCAGTCAAAGAAGACCAGAGCTCCCCGCTGTGCTTTGTTGTTCTTAAAATCTGAGTTGTCAAAACGAGAAAAAGCAGAGGTTTACATGTATGTACACGTTCATCATTTAAAGAGATTCTAGAGGATAGTTATTATAATGCTTATAACTACAACTATATTTCCCACCATCAACAATGAAACATTAATTGTGTAAAGCCAGAAGGCACACACAAATATTTCAGGTCTTATTTCATTGCCTGAGCTTTATCCCCTTCGTCCAAAGCAAACACATTAATTAATAAACCCAAAATGATACTACTTGGAGAAAAAAAATTGTCAAAAGTCCTGTAACATTTTCGACGTAAATAGAGGACTTCATGCACACGGTAAAGTTTACGTAAAGCACAGAACAGCAGAACAGAGCAAAAGAGTCATTTCTGGACTTTCCGGATACCACTTTGGACAATGTATCATAGCCCTAAGTGGCATTTTCCCATGCAGTACACAACATCTGTACATTTCATGTACCAATAAACACACAGAGCACGCTCAAATATGGAAACCACGAGTTACTCATACATTATATTTCCAAAAAATATCTCAGTACTCTGAGTTTTTACATACGGAGTCGTTTGAGGAGACTTCTTGAGATGTCACTGTACACATACCAACCGTAAACATTAGGTATGAATACCCTACGAGTTAGAAAATATTTCTTCCCTATAATCTGTATACTTATTTCTCTACCAGTTTAAATACAAACATGCCAAATAAACCCTGGAACTGCTTAATTTTGGTTCACAACATGCAATACATTGCGATCATCCTCGCCCTCCTTCACAACAAACTACCCGAGCTTAAGATGTTACAGGTAGTAGTGACACCTCACTGGCAGGTGACTGTTCCCTCTACATGTTGCTATGTGTTTTTTTTTCCTTTTTTCCATGTCAATTCCTTTATAACACTTTGATCAAAAAAATGAAATGGTAAAAGCGCCTCGGAACATGTAACTGAATTCAGGCAAGGAATCTTAATGCTGGACGTGTGCTGCGTATGTATATTTTCTGTCTTTGGACTGCCATTGACAAAGATTTATCTATGGGCATTGTATGCTTGTTTATGCTGATAACAATATGCACATTCATGACCAAAAGAGTGACATCATTTGAGGCAGAGGTACGGTGTCCGTGTTTATAGTTTGTGGAGCATCACAAGTTGTGATAAATTCTCTGTACTGAGAGCCGCTCAATTAAAACTCTGCCAAAAGTTTTTTCAGTTGAACTCAAATGCGGTCAGCTTTTAACCAGAAGCCAGCCTTGAATTTAACCACTCCAAAATTCTTCAAAATACGATTTCGAAGGATATGCAGGGACTTATATCGGTACATCACAGCCGGGGGGGGGTTCAAAATCGAATGCGGCTTTGGGCTCATTCAACATGATAATAGGGAGAAAAAACCAAATTCTATTTATTTGATAAACAAATTTACCGATTACTTTCTTTCCTACTCACCTATGAATGAAGTACATGTATTCTTACTTTTAAAGCATTTGGCGAATTTTTGAAGTGTCTGTCCACCAGGAGGCTTAATTAACACACATCTTTCAATAACCCATTTGCAAGTTAAATTTGAATAAAATCTGGTACACTGAGTTATTTAAAATCACGTGAACATAACAACGTGAATTCTCTATACTAAAATCACTGTTTCTATACCTCGTGATTCGGATCAAGCTTGTGCTTAGTTACATAAGAGACGCCTTGCACTGTTCTCAATGGATAAGAACGGCACAAAGGAACCAGTCTATTCCAGAGATGGTGGTCGCTATGCAAAAGCTTGCCCCGAATCACAAGGTATAGCAACGGTGTCTTCAGTCGGGGGAATTCAAATTGTTACGTTTATGTGCAATCAGATAATTCAGTGTCAGTACCAGATTTTATTTAAATGTAACTCACAAGTGGCTTATTTAGGCAATGGAAAATGACAAATCAGGCTTGGTGGTACTCCAAATTAGCCAATTTGTAGAAAACTTAGAAAGTTTGTCATCACTTATGAATCTCTTGAAAAGACACAAGAACACGTTGCCAACGTGTACATGCAGGTTGCGAATGTTAAAATTTCGGTTTGTCAGTATTTCATATAAGTCCAAAGAATTTCAGCAAATTTCAAAAAAACCTGTAAGGCATACCAACAAAATTTGGTTTGACACGGCATGACCGTTTTGCTATTGTAAAAGCTATTTGGCGCCTTTTTGGTAATGCAAATTTCCACATTCATGCGCAAAACTATGTCATATCAGGAAAAAACCTCAATGTTGCATTGATCTGTGCACAAAACCTAATGGAATTTCTTACATTACTTTTGCTGCCCTAAAGTTTCATTTCACTGGTGATTAATTATTCTGTAAGTACACATGTTTGTGGCAATAAGCTGATTACCAACTCTTTCTCAGAAATGTTTTTGATGAGCAAATTTGTGGTTCGAAATTTACATGAGAACATAGAAACTAAACAGTGGCAACAGCGCCCTCAATTGTCCAGAAAGGCCTGGATAATTTTAGGTGCTTAAGAAAACACTTCCAGTATGTCTAACCCCCCAAGAAGGCATAACAAGGTCGATTGTTCGTATGCTGCATCAACTTCATCCTCAGGGATTACTTAATTTTTGAGTTTCATTTCTAAATCCTGGATGTGAAACCTTCTTAGATTTTTAACAATTTTCAATTCGATAAAAAACATCATGTTGCCAAATCCATCATGCTACGCTGGGAAAAACTGCAAAATGAGCGCTGAGTAAAAGCATAGCCACACATCGGAACAGTTCTTCCCATGACCTTACGTACCTACTTTTGTGTGGTTATACATGTACTATTAATTTAAACTATGTTAAACTATATAGTAAATTTATGTACTATAAATTGTTAGCCTTGAGGGTGCTCTCCTCGACAACCTGGGAACGAGGTGGACACCACTTTATTTTGTTGCCTGTGCCATGCGTCGTGACACGTTAGTTTATCAAGCTGTGAATAATGGCCCCTCTTCCGGGCATTACAAGTCTTTGTGCCCCGTCGTTTACACCTGGTCGCTTTGGAGGTCGTAAGTTTTCTCTTTTTGAACTTTTTCTTTTGTTGTGTGAAAATATTGGAATCAATCTACGTTGGTTTCGTGTGGAATCTGGCTTCAAACATTCTGACCATCCGTCAAAGCCGCCTTTTTGTTCGTAACGGCCTTGTGGTGCCATGAATGAATTTTGCACACCCACTGCACTGGCAAAATTTTACCAACTGGGTAAAAAGGTTGGTTATAAAAAAGAATATCGAGGTTAAACTAACCATGTACTAAATTGATATGCACGAATGCGTGACGCCAACTCACTTCAGTGCTCTTGATTATGTCACTCATATTGAACAATAAATGTGGTACATCTTCCTTATAATATGGATGTTTTCGTTTGTATCTCAAATCGAGTGGACCAACGACAAAAAAGATATTCACGAGATTGTCTGGAAACGCCTTCATAAATGGCAGAAAACCCAAATTTCAGTCAAAGAGTTTCTCACAAGTTTTTTATACAGAAATTCGGTCAGACAGATCGACGTTGGGGCTCAAAGCCTTCAATGATTGCACATATTCATTTCAAAGAGATATTAACATTTCCCAACTGTGACAAGCTAGCAGGGATTTCTTTGTGAATATTTCAACTTCTGGCGATGTACCGACCGACGATGTTCTGATGAGCCGACGTTGTAGTATTTCAGCAATGATCGCGTTATACGAAAACACATTCAACACATTTTCAGAAAACGAAGTATATATTTCCAAGTTTGTTTTTACGAATATATTTTGTATTTGGGGCAGCCTGATCTAAATCTACTGTTATTTCTGTTATCAATATTCTACTTGTCGAATGGGAAGGCGAATCAAAAATGTTTACAAAAATGTCTGTTATCGATGTTGTTGAAGAGTTAGTCCCAATGAAAGCAGCAGTAGCTGCGCAATACGTCATCCTGTCATCGCCGGCTCCCCCTCCAAAAAAGGCGCTGTGCCATTTATTTCTGACACTGAGTGGATTGCATCGCATTTAATTTCGTTTGGGTTTTTTCGGATCTTCGGACTCTCTTGAATTGCTAACTGCTCCCAGAATTTAATGACAGGGTGGTAGATTTTCAGTTTGGTTGCAATTTCTCAGCAGCAATTTCTTTGATGCATGACTTGGATAATAATTCCTTGGTTTTAATGCGTACTGAATGATGCCTAACAGTTTTCTTACCAAAAAATCCTGTTTGGGGATTGAGGTCATATCCCAAATCAGGGATTTCGATCGACCCTGGCTGTCACCGTACCAAGGAAACAAACTGTGATCACGGTGATTAGGATCGCTGAATGAGAGGGGCGCATGAAGGAATTGGTCTTTAATTATCAGTGTAAACTTCTGTTAGTTGTTGTGGTTGTTGTTGATGTTGTTCCGGTTGTTATTGAGTATGCTTTGTACTCTAGAGAGTACTAATTGCGACCCACCCTGTGAAAATGAGTCTTAAGTCGCCAGAGCTACTTTGGAGTAAAAAGACCTTTAGCATAGTTTTAAGCTCTGTACATCAAAAGGAACCCACAGCATTTTTCACCATGGAGGGTCCACTTTCATCATGATGCCAAACTGAGTGATCCATCAAACAAAAACTCAATTTGCTCTTTCCATTACAAATGAAAACTGAAAAAGTGGCTTTGGTGACTAAAGACTCATTTTCACAGAGTGGGTCACAATTGACCCTGATTTTATACATTAAACGTAAAATGTCTTATTTCCCCGTTTCCACAATCTCATATTCTGCTGTATATTTCATAGAAGCATTAAGAATTAAGCAGACTGCAAAGTGATCTTAAGCAAATTTTGTTTGCTTCAACATTTGCAAGATAGATATCTCCCCCTGCGAGGCGAAGCGCGGAGAAGACAGAAATAAAACCACTGCCAGCCCCGTTTAAGTGACAGTCCGTGTTCCAGTGGTTATGAGCTAAATGGCCAATCTTTCTTTCCCTTCAAAAAGATAAAGAAAGGTATTTTTCGATTCATCGGGTTTAATTCCTTGTTTTCCGTGTTAACACAACTCGTTCAATCGCCTTTACGCCTTTTATACATTTTAAAACTTGCAACATACGTGTCCCACAACCAATACTATTGAACGATTTTATTGTCTTATATAAAACACTAACCGTCTTTTTAAATAATAAATCATGTTAGGTATAACCACAATAATGCGCATGACTTGGCCCAGTTCCAGAGATCTACAGATTTACAAATCGTTAAAAATAAGTGTTACATGAATAATACCTTTACCATTTTATTTACACTTTCTAGTCCGTCGTCAGTCCTTGCCAGGTTGTTTGCCGTCACAAGACATTTTCCACTGCCGAAGAGCTATATTTAATGCTGTTCAATGTCAATGATGCACATTATTAGGAAGAAATGCCAACTGGCAGGGGATTGTTATAGTCCATAATCTGCAGACGTTACTGGTAACCATGGTCACTTACGGTGGCCTCCGTCTATCATGCCAATTATAAATAATGACTTTTTGACGGAGTCCCTGCTATACGATTCAGTCGTTCCGCACAAGACCCAACACATATCCAACACTAATTTTTAAAGAGGCAACCTGGACGGTCAAGTAAAACGCCGCCGGAATTCGTATTACATCCCTCACCACTTGGTAAAACGTCGGATTCGATTCAGCTACCTTCTCATGATGCTTGGTCCCTTGTTTTTAGGGGGTTGCAACTGAATGCTGAGCCTCTTTGCCACTAATAAACTCAATCGAAGGGGGTTCTTCGAGAAGGTTCGTAAATAGCACTGGCGCCAAACGCTATTTTGCACAAGTCATAAGAACAGAGACGTGGGCTTATCATTCCGAGTGCTTCATTAGTAACTATTTGTAGTAATCGTGTTCGACTTGGTCGCGTATAACTTGTGAAGTTCTCATTAATCTTCGACAGCGCCCTCGACCGGCAACTAGGTGGAGGCCGAGGTTCCGAGTCATGGTCCCAGGTGTATTCATAACACCGTGTGCTCAGTCTGTGAGATCGCGAAAAAGTCCACGGTGTTCGCCAGCTCTAGGAAAAAAAACTGAATGCACGTCAATAGAAGGACAAAAACCCATAACTAAAAATTAAGTTCTCCCTGACGCTAGTATATCTTTGGGAAACAAATTAAATGATGTGGTATCAACCCTTAGGCCTACTAATGAGGAAGTAGCAGGCCCTATGAGCCAAAACGGGACGATATTTTGAGAGCACATTGTACAACTGGTACTCTAGAGAAGACGTTGGCGTTTTACCCGTTAGACAACAATGAACGCAGTTATGCACACCATCTATCCATCGGTTTTGCCCATTCTTTTCCATACCGAGGCTTGGCGCGCACGGCTAGCAGTCCTTGCATTTATCTGTCTTTACTTCAAATGGACTTGATGACAAGTTGTTTGATCGTGGTGTATTTGAACTTCAGTCGAAAACCGTCCGCGCTACTATAGCGGGCGTATAACATTATTGACTGAGTTTAGACTGAATTGGATGGTCAACCATCCCCAAGTTGATGACTATAGGCAACCAACGTTCCAGAGCAAACGTGTTGCCATACAGTGTGGGGCGCGTGGGAAACTTAATCAATTACCGACTTGGCAACAAGTCTATGGTTCAGGTACCTAAAGGCCGGTTCGTGCTTCATGCAAATGCCTAAACGAAGCGAGTTTGACGTCACGACAAATTCCAGCGAAATTTTGCGTGAGTTGAAATGCGTTCAACTTTACGAATTCGTAATACGAATATTTGATGTGACGTCACAAATTCACGTACGTGTTTGCTTTCGCACCAAGTATGAACCGGCCTTGAGGCTGCATCCAAATCTGTTGTCTAGAGCTAAGTCCAGGTCTTCTCTCCATTAGCAATACGGGAGACGTGCTGACAAAAGACGTAGCCATAGCACTGCAAGCCCACTGTGGACACGACCTAAGCCCTATGTAGAAAGAGTGCAGGCCGCACAAAGTCGGTAAATGGCGATAGGTGGCGATAAGTTACACTTATCAATCGAATTCATTGTAGTTCAGCGGGACGGAAAAGATAGAACTGTTTCATCAGCTGAATAATGGACTGTTTCGTGCACAAACACCAGTGGAACGAACATGGCTTCCAAGCCATAATTGTCGCAACTCTTTATATAGACGGCTCTCGATGGAGTACCAGCGATCAGTTCAAGCGACGACCATTGAGGAGCCTTTCCAAATGCGCTCCAACACCTGCGCTAAGCGGTGCGTATCCGTCAAGATCGCTCCCGGGGATGTTGACGACCAAACGCAAGGCACACGTGTGTTATGTTAGTTAGATTAGATTAGGAGTAGATTTGGGTGTCTGTGAAAGTGAAACACATGAACGCATCGTGTACGTAGCGCACCCAAAGAATTATGAAAAGGCGCCTTAAGTCTACCACATTTTTTCCACTGTAACATGACCACTTAATATACCAAGAGTATCAAAGCAAAATCGGCCGGTGGTTCCTAAATGACGGTCGCTTGAACTCGCTCCAGTCTGCCTCCATCCCAGTGTTTTGTTCTAATGCGGGATGCAGTAAAGTATCTGCCGGCCTTGCCTCCCCTTGTGACCAACGTTACCCTCCAAGGTGACAAGCATGAGGGGTGTGACACACTCCTGGGGGACGGTGATCCCGCTCCTGTACACGTCATTGTCAAAGCAAATGTCCCCTTTCCAGTCATATCCACCCTTGAGAATGCCAGGATGGGCCAACATTTCGGCACACCAACGGAACGGTTCATCGACATCGGCTAGGGATAGAAACATTCAACGTTTTCATTGGTGGGCCTAAATCTGAACTGATTTCCTCCAATAAAATTTGATTTATCAATATAAATGTCCTAAGATAAATCTCTGAGCAGAATACACTTAATTATGTGAAAGCATTATTTCTTTGTTAACGCAAGCATTTGGAAATCTGCTGATTATGCACTTGTTTGGTAACCGTTGCTAAATTAGGTTTTGGAGCATAAGAGATTTTAACAAAGTATTTTGATCTTGTCTTTCGTTTCGTAAATCTTACCTTGGTCGAAAATAAATCTCCAGTCGTTATCGGCGCCCTCGGAAGTGAATTCTACATCGTACGGTTGGAGTGTATTTTCAAAGGTATCTGCAGAAGGGTAACATCGAGTGAAAAAGTAAAGTTATTAAAAAAAAACAAACAGAAGATTAACTCTTTCCCTAGGAAGTTTTTCCTTTGTTGAAAATGGTTAAATCAGAGGTGTTCGGTGCAGAAATGGAGGCGAAAAGAAAAATTAATAAATTAATATTTACAGCTAAAATTTTCAGGAAGTGTCTTTTTTTATTATTATTATTTTTTGGCGGGGATAGGGGACCCGATTGGTTGCCAAAACACGCGCGTCTCAATTGAAGGGCCGCCTCAGTGTGGATATAACACGTGTGTTTTTCCACCCTTTTGATGCCATTTGTATGCGTAGGCCTATACGCCCTATATAACAAGCTGATTTCTGTTCAGAGATAAGATTAGATTACTAAAAACAACGAACATAGGTTTCAATTCGATCAAAGGTATCTGCCATTTCTCCATGACTTCAATGTGAATAAATTGTGTGGACACTTACAGAGAACAGCTGAATTGGCGAATTCGGCGAGAGCGCATGAGACGCATTCATGGTCACCGCACGTCACATTCACTACAGAAAATCCCTGCAACGTCGAGCCCAAAATTAATGCAGTGAATATGGGCGTTTCATTATAGTGCGCCTCCAAGAGTTTGCAACGCATCAGCCAATCACGATGGGCGAAATCTGTCTACCCAATGCGTGTTTGGAAAGGGTCGACAAATTTTACACGTTGTGATTGGCCAACGCGTTGCAAACTCTTGGACGTGTACCATTGTGAATCGCCTGTGTTGTATTTCTGTAGAGGTTTTCCAAACCATGTCCATATGGAATATCAGCTGGTTTTTATAATGCTAAACCCTGCCACCCTTTTGGCTATAACCTTGGGATGGCAAACTGTGGGTAGCCGCTATAGCAAAACAAAACAATTCCGAGAGATTTCAAGCTGTGTACAGCGCTTTTTAAGAATTCTGAATGCACTGTACAAACCAACAGAACTGTTCAAACACTACCTCTTAAAAACTGCGTGAATAGATACACGTGACGTTTCTGTTCAAAACTATTTACCAACCATGGTTGATTTTATAAAATCCAGAGCCCCTTCATATAATATGTCACAACGCTAAATATTCATTTGAACTGGCGTTCACAAGTAAGCACTCCTGGAGATCGATGGAACTGGTTGTGTCCATCAGTGGGGTGTGTGCGTCACCGGTAGCCTACAGGGTGAAGTTGCAACTTTGTGACGAACCAGGGTACATTTTGAACACCAAGATTTATTTTTGCCAGGGAAGAATTGGTTTCCAAATATTAAACTAGTAACTTAGCGGAAAGAAAGCTCTGTAAGTAATCGTTCTCAGTTTTTACCACATTGGCGTCAAGTCTGGCGATGTCTCTACACCGACACAGAACCCCACAGGTGAGTAGCACACACACAAGCGCGTACTTCAGCATCGCGCTTTAAGGTCCGTGCATTCGAATCGAAGTAACCATCAGAGAAGGAGCCGTCAAAGGGAAACGCTGTTGTCTGCGCACCAAACTACATTCTGAACAATCAGAAGCAAAATCGTATTTATAGACGTTACTGTAAAAAGTACCCCGTCAGTATTTCCATATTTGCATATCTTACCGAGCAGTCACGAGTACTGGGGTCAGTTTATGACCGTTTAATATTCATGATGAGGCTGTATTTATGCAACCAGCCGGAAACACCATTATAATTTTATCGCTTTGGGAGCCTACTGAAGGCCGGTTCATAATTCAGGCAAATATGAAAGCGAAGGGAAGTTGACGTCGCGAAAGATTTGCAGCAATATTTTGCTCAAATTGGTATGTGTTCAACTTTCACACCGCGAATATTTTGATCGGATGTCACAAATTCGCATTTCGGCTCGCTTTCGCGCCAAGTATGAACTACCTTTAACACGGCACCATTTGGTCTCTTTTTTTCATAATTTCTTGGTTTTGCGTAGCGGGCATTTCGAGGCATTTAAGAGCATCTGTGGTTTCGATCGTTTCGATCCCAGCAGAATCTTTCTCAAAGGCAAAGGCTTTTTGCCTTTGAGAAAGGTTCTGCGAGGGTCGAAACGTCAGGCCCTCCATGTTTTGAGATTTGTATTTTAGGTTATATTGTAGTCAGCAACCAGTTTGCAGCAGTTTTGTATTAGAGACGTTGTTTGGGCCGGAAGTGTCGGTTTCAAGTGTGTTTATGCTCCATAAATACGCAACATGCAAGGCCTAAGCTACAGAGGTTTATGTCTTGATTGGTTCGATAATGGAATGCCGTATTAACCCCTTCGTGTTCTTCTGTTTCTACGGTTCGTTATCTACATTGAAAACTTGTCACTATATCAAAACACGGCCGTTGAACAAAACTGTTGACTCTTGCATTTTTAGCTGGCAGGAAGAAATATGTTCTGCACTTATTTAAATCCCCCACAACTTCCCCTGGATTTGGTCCTAAAGCCGCCTTACTAGTTTGCAAACTGTGAGTGCTTCCTTTCAGACACGCCTTGTCTTTAAGCGTCTGGCGGCACGCTCCAGTGGGACCTTAACTATACGGTATAAACTCTCGATAATTCAAAGTCTGTTAACTCGAAACTCCTCTTACCTTGAAGACATTCTTCATTCCAGCCAAAATAATGTATGGGCTTTTACATGTAAGTACAAAAATACCTCCATATTAACTCGAAATGCCCACACCATTACATCCGCTTAACTATAAGCTTTTTAAATTAAGGGTTGGTCCAAAAAGACCGCCGCCGAATTACTGACAATGAGTGGAAGAAGAACGCTACCAACAAAATGAACAATCCCGACCTATTTGGCACTTCCAGCCGATTATGGGGTGCTTCTGCGCGAGGCGGTATCCTCCACTACAACATTTCCCTCGAGGAGGCACATATTCTCGACTGGACAGAGGCAATCAGTAAATAGGGGGGTTGAGTGCCACGCCTGTGATCAAAGATGTAACCAACGACATCGCTCGAACCCACGAACCTGTACCATTACAAACCCTAATCACTATGGCCTCAGTTCTGTCGATGTCACGACCTCCAGATTGCTTAAGGTATACATTGTTACGAAAGCATCCGGAACTTGAGACCAAACATATGGCTCATCAATAATTCAGAAGACGTTATGTAATGAGAAAAATAGCCTTGAAACAAGGAATACATACACTTCCAAGGCATGTATGTAGGCCCCTATTGCATGATACAGATTTACTAAAAGGCAAGTAAAGAAGTTCGATGGGTCTTATCCGTATCATTACCTTGTCTCTATCGTTGGCCCGGGGTTGCAACACTAAAACAAAAACAAACGTATCCCCAACCCCCCCCCATGTTGATTACAGTGCAAAGTAAACCTCTGCCAAGAATATCAATACAAATAAACGTACTCTTTCTTGCGACTGAAGTCCTTTTTAATTGGCCGATTAACACAAGCCTCTGCTTAGTTTTTTTTTAATTCTAGTTGACTCAATCCAACGACGAGCTTACGAGGATTTTTCGGTAACTTTGCCCACTATGAGTATGAGCCCCGAGCGCGTCCAAGAGAGGGCGCAAGTTTCTTAGCAACGGAGACTCCTTTGGAAGGATCTGCACTTTGGCGATTCACCGGCGGCTATGAAATGCGTGCGATGCAACCTCGTTGCTAAAGACAAAAATGAACGATCCCGACCAACATAGTCCTTTTCCAACTCACGAGGCGGTGCTTCTACTCAAGGCAGATAGAGCTCCCATATCTGTCACTTGCCCTTTTATCACTTTGCGAAGGACTCCCCGCTGTGCTTTCGTTGTGGTCAAAACGCAGTCGTCAAAACGATAAACGACAGAGATCTACATACACGTTCACCATTGAATGAGATTCTACAAGACATTTATTACAATGCATATAACGTAATACAACTATTTTTTCAACTGTCAACTATGACACATTACGTAAAGCCAGAAGACATATACAAAAATTCGGTTATTTCACTGCATGAGCTATATCTCCTCCGTCAAAAGTAAACACAATAAACCCAAAATGATACGACTTAGTAAAAAAAAAATCGTCAGAAATCCTGTAACATTTTCGACGTAAATACACGTAGCGGACTTCATGCACACGGTACAGTTTACGTAAAGCACAGAACAGCAGAACAGAGCAAAAGAGTCATTTCTGGACTTTCCGAATACTACTAAGGACAATGTATCATGGCCCTAAGTGGCATTTTCCCATGCAGTACACAACATCTGTACATTTCATGTACCAATGAATACACAGAGCACGCTCATACATGGAAACCACGAGTTACTCATACATTATATTTCCAAAAAATATCTCAGTACTCTGAGTTTTTACATACGGAGTCGTCTAAGGAGACTTCTTGAAATGTTACTGTACACATACCAACCGTAGACATTAGGTATGAATACCCTGCGAGTTAGAAAATATTTCTTCCCTATAATCTGTACACTTATTTCTCTGCCAGTTTAAATACAAACATGCCAAATAAACCCTGGAACTGCTTACTTTTGGTTCGCAACATGCAATACATTGCGATCACCCTCGCCCTCCTTCACAAAAAACTACCCGAGCTTAAGATGTTACAGGTAGTAGTGACACCTCACTGGCAGGTGATTGTTCCCTCTACATGTTGCTATGTTGTTTTTCTTTTTTTCCCGTGTCCATTTCTTTATAAACACTTGGTCCATGAACAAACTGATTCAAGTGCCTATGGACATGTAAAAGAATTCAGGTCAAGGAATCTTCATGCTGGACATGTGTGTCCTGCGTATGTGTATTTTCTTGCTTTGGACTGCCAGGTATAAAGATCTATCTCTGGGTATTTTATGCTTTTTGATACTGATAACAATATGCATATTCATGAGCAAAAGAGTGACATCATCTGAGGCATACTAGTCAGTATTTACAGCTTGTGGAGCATATCAGGTTGTCAGAAATTGCTCCTGTGGTCAATTCTCTGTATGCAACAGCCGCTCAGTTGAAAATCTCTGGCAAAAGCGCTTCCAATTGAACTCAAATACGGTCAGCTTTTAACCAGAAGCCAGCCTTGAATTTTACCACTCCTAAATTCTTCCAACTCCTCTATGAGATCCTGAAGGATATATGCAGGGACTTACAATGGTGCATCACAGCCACTGCTGCATTCCATTATGCTTGATCTTCCTCAAAGGTTTAAGTACATATACAAAGAGATGGGTCAAACAGTGGTCCATGGGGGAATTTGCAAGATTTCTAGCAATGATGAGTAGGCAATGAAGGTTAATAATTGAGGTAAACTACGAAATGGTTGCTTGTGTCAAGCAGCTTGGCGCAAGTTGGGCTAGTCGTCTGGGCCGAAAGTGATTGCCTACAGAGCAACCAAGTCCTCTCGTTTGTTCAGGCTCAGAGTATTAGTAGCTCTAAACAAAAAGGTTCACAAACTTACTGGTCCACGCTGCAAATAACTGTCGAAAATCTACCATCTCCGAAAATCCCAGCTTTGACCTCTAACAAGCAGGCAAAAAGAGGCTTTTCAGATTTACATGTACCAACAGTGCACTGGTGATTCTGTGATATTAATTACAATTCATTCATCTGCCTACTAACTTTAAAGGACACATTACAAAATCAGAGCTACGGCCGTTTCTCGAAATTGCAGGTTCATCTCTGACCGCGGCTTCATGTTTGTTGTAGGCATAGAGCTACATAAATAAACCAGAATGCTAAATCTCATTTCCTATGTGAAGAAATTTTGATCACAGGATCAACGACATTTTGAAATCCTAGACGTGTCTGAAGAACATAACGAAATAAAACTGAACGAATTCAGAATGAAGTATTCAAAATGTAACGCAGGTTAGGATTAGGGTCATACACCCAGCAGGCTTCACTTTGCACCGCAAGCTAGTGCTCTAGTAAGTTACATGTATATGGTTTTCGACAATTACTATTGAATTTTGAAAGTGCACAAGCTGGAACAAACCTGAGATTTGAAAAACCACACAGTTGAGACGCGTTGAGGCTCCTAATCCAAAATGCTCTTTAGGGCACTACTTCAAGGTGCAGGATATCCGGGGTACCTGTCTCACAGGCTTAAAAGGAGGTGACTTTTCAACTCCTGCTGGGTCCTGGCAGTTTGTTTCACTTCGCACTGAAGCAGGACAGTTCACTGACACAATTTATCGACAGCCTTCCCTTACAAGTTTGGAATGCATAAGTTTCAGATGGTCTGGTGTCTGTTTCTACTGTAAAGAAGGGAAAAAAAAAATGAGACGGTGCTTTCCTCCCCCCGCGTTAATTTGAATATGGAGGCGGCTCCTCATCCGGTGTTGCAGGATCGGCCTGGCTGTTGGGCATCAACGATTCACAATACGGGGGTGGCGTGAACAGCTGTGGCAGAGGAGGGGGTGCTTGCCCGTCTGTGTCCACGTAAACAATGTTTGCTGGGGTGACCAAGTGGGCCTGGTCGCTGGTGAACTCACTGGGTATGGTGACAGAGTTGCCTGTGGATGGGGGGGGGGGGAATTGAAAGAAGGGTCAGGAACAGTGTTGAAATTCTCAGCATCAACAGACCATGAATGGTCACAAACAACGGCTATCCCCTTAACGGCCAAGTCACCCCTCCACACACACACACGTTATTCAGATGTTACTCCGCACGTTTTTCATAAGCAATTTTTTAAAAGCATTTGGCCAATTTTTTCAAGTGTCTGTCCACCAGAATAAGGGCTTAGAAGGTAACACACTTTTCAATTTAGGCTTTGGAAATCAGGCTTGGTGGTTGTGAGTGGCACTCCAAGAAATTTGCCAATCTGAAGAAAGCTCAGAAAGCTTGGCATTTTGCAGCACTTACAAATTCTTGAAAAAATACTCGAAAAACACTGCCTACATGAAGGTTACAGAAATTAAAATTTAGGTTTGGCAGTATCTCATAATAATTTCAGCAAATTCCTAGAAAATCAGTGAGGCAGACCAAACAAAAGTGTTTGGTTTGAAACAGAATCACCCTTTTGCAATTATAACAGCTATTTTGACACTCTTTTGGTTTAAATTGTGCTTATGAAAATTTCCATATTCATGACCTACAATGACCTGTGATGTCATATCCGGGAAGAAACCTCAATATTACAGAGATTTGTGCACAGAAACTGCTGGAATTTCATAAATACTGTACTATTCTAAATTTCCTTTCCTTGGTTGATTTATTGTTGTGTAAGTGCGGTAGTAAGCTATGACCAATCCTTTCTAAGAAGTGATTTCATTGAGCAAAATTGGGGTTTAAAATCTCCCCTTGAAAAGACAGAAACTTTCCTAGTTCCCACCATGGCAACAGCACCCTCAGATGTCCAGAAGGACTTCCATAAGCTTAAATGTTTCCAAAAGTGCATTTTTCAGTACACCTTCGCCCAAAATATCAAGTAGTCTTAGAAGAGATCAAAGATGCACACAAAAAATGTGTGCCTCTGAAAAACATTCCCTGCGTGGTCCCTTTCAATGAATAAAAGCTGGTCTACTCACTGCTGGTGCTTCTGACAACCAGGCGATGCTGACGGTAGCGCATGCGGCGGGCGATCATCACCGCGATGACCGTCACCTTGAAGAAGACCACCAGCACCACGGCCATGGTGATCCAGGTGTAGCTGCTGACCCCTTTGCTGCTGTCCTCGCCCCACAGGCCGTGGTGGGCGCTGGGGTTGTCAAAGTTGAAGTGGATGGGCGGCACCGTGGGCAAGTCCTCGTCCACATTGGGGCCCATGTCGTAGGGGTTGAGCTGACCTGAAAAGCTCTCACCTTCGATAGAAACACAATGATAGGGCCTACTAGTGATGTGCATTGTACATTATGAAGTTCACATGTCGGTATCCAACAGTACATTGGCACTGCACTATTATTACCCCCGTTCACAGGGCCATTGAGCAAATCTCAAAATCATCCGAGTTCCCTGGACAGAATGCACCTCAATACTGCCGTTTAAGGTTCAAATGGGTTATCAAAAATATGACAACCATCTGTACTTTCACAGGTGCCACCATAGGTTTATACTCTCAGGCAGAGCAAGGCAACTAAAGTGATGTGCACAAGGTTGCAACATGTAACCAACAACTGGATTCGAACCCCCAACCCTCTGAACTAGAGTTACAAACCCTGACCACAAGGCCACAAGAACCCTTCATGTACACGTTCAATAATGTACATTAAGGGAGCATGGCAGACTGGGCGGCCATTCAACCCGACGGCTGTTTCACAGGGAACCTGGCATTCCTATCGGAACGCTGCCTCAGAATGGACTATGCAGAAAGTGGACAGTACTCAGTTCCCACTGATGTGTGAACGTTCCGATGGAACACTAGTGTCCCAAACACTGAATGTGAACAGTACATGTACCAACTTTTGAGATGCTCCCTCACCAACAGACCAATTCTGGATTTGTACGAAGGACACTCATCAGTCCAGCATCCCATTATCAGTTGGTGCCCTCAACCTCCTCCCCTAAAAACACATCAACCCCAACCTCCCTGATCTTTACAATCCAGCATGTTTTGGAGGATTTTGCAGCTTTAAGGAGGGAAGAGCCAGGTCTTATATTTGAAGGTGTACCTTGCATCAGGGAGATGTTAATTTTGATCACAGGCTTTACCCTTACCTGACGTGTATTCATAAACTCTGTGTACTCTGTGCGAACAAATTTGCAGGCTTACTCGGGTGTGACTCGAACCCATGACCTCCTGCTTACTAGTGCAGACGTCTTAACTACTTGACCACTAAGCTAACCAGGGTCGACTGGCAGGTTCAAGTCAGATGTAGCAGCGGGTAACGCAAACTATTTCAAGATGTACTTCGCGTCGAGGAGAGCGTAAGGTCGTTGGGTTATTCCGTCAAACAAGGGCAAAACTTGTTAATTAAAATCAGGTCTATATTGACATGCTTGTGTCTTGATACCCAGAGAGAAGTGAAGTTCAGAGATTGTGCCACTGGTTTAAAGCACAGTGGAGCATTTATGAAAGATGCAGAGAAGGATAGTACTTTTGCAGTTTTGATTAAAACCTAAAGAAAAAAGCATGGAATCCCTTCTGGGGTTCATCGATGAGGCTGCTTGGTGAACCGTCTATTTGGAGATACCTGTGTCAATCCAAGGGGAGACTGTCTTTGGGGACCACACTGGGATGTTCAACCAGGATTCATCGTCTGGCTTTCCGGTCCCCTGGCTGAACACGCCGTCGCTAGGTAACACCTTCAGTGCATTCTTCCACTTTTCTGGAGGATTAACCAGCAAGATTAGCATTCAACCCTTGCCACACATGCAGCAAATCAATGACGCAGTCTGGGAAATCAGTTTAAAATAGCTTTAAGAAAATGATGTTCGTCATGGCTGTTAAGTGTTGGTTACAGCTGTGTCAGCAGTGAACAAAATAAGCCATTTGTGAGTTAAATCTGAATAAGTTCTGGTAGACTGAGTATATCTGATTGCACATAAACGTAACAATTTGAATTCCTCAGACTAAAGACACTGTTGCTATACCTTGTGATTTGGGGCAAGCTTTCGCATAGTGACCACCATCTCTGGAATGGACTGGTTCCTTTGAACCCTTCTTATCCATAGAGAACAGTGTATTGTTGCAAGGCGTCTCTTATGTAACTAAGCAAAAGCTTGCCCGAAACACAAGGTATAGCAACAGTGTCTTAGTATGGAGAAATTCAAATTGTTATGTTCACATGAATTAAAGAAATCAGTGTACCAAATTTTATTTAAATTTAACTCGCAAAGGGCTTATTGAGTTCTACTTTTCAATTTAGCTGCCTTCTAGAGACTCACCTAATTGTTCTTGTAGGGAGAGGATCGTTGGTGTGAAACCTGTTGCCTTGCCCTTGTAGTGCGCTGTGGAAGGCAGCACTGTCGCAGCCTGAACTATTGTTACAAAAGCTGTCAACGGGGACGGAGAGAGAGTACTTGAGTACCGAAGTGTGACATCATTTGAACTTTGAAGTGTACATGTAGGGTGAATAAATGGAGCACATGTACATGTTGGTTCACCTGCTGCCTCTTCCACTCATGTCTTCTGCACATATAAGTGGGAGTGTGACGAGCAGGTACTCACTTCGAACTCTACTGCACACTCACATGTAGCCTACATGTACGTACCTCTCGGCAGAATATGTGAATAATCAATTATTCAAATTCAACACAAGGTTCGGAGGATTTTACGGGATTTGGGAGGCCTAGCCATGCTTCTTGACTAAATGCTTGATGTACGTTTAATCTTGATTTACCCTCTGTATGCCTTGTACGTGTATGTGATCAAAATGAGACACCTGCTCGGCGTAACCCGATCCAACAGGTCAACCAACCCTGGCACCAATCAGCCTTGAAGTCTGTCATTGCCAACTACCAACAGATTGGTATCAGATTGGGGGGATACTGAGTGGAGGAGGGAATGAAAAATCCCAACAAACAAAGACTCCGACTGTACCAATTCTTACAAAATCTTGACCATGAAACAGCCTCAAAGTCTGAGGTTGCCTACTGCCAACAGATTAGCATCAGACTGGGGGATGCTTGGAAGGGGCTGAAACATCCCAGACGACTCTTACAAGTTTTAAGAGATTTCTAATTGTCCCATAGTGCGCTAAATAACATGCAAAGTTCGCGGTGCTCATTCCGAGAGATTCTACTACCGTGCTACCAACAAAAAGTCTCACGACAATTTGACCCCGATATCAGCACACCGAATGATGACACAAAACTCACCAAGCACGCTAGATGTGAACATCACGGCATCCCTACAGGACGCACACTTCCTCCCCATCCCGGCAGTGATGGCTGTACCTCACCTTTCAATGCTCCAAATCTGGAGGGAAGAGAGCAAAGCCTCAAGATTTCTTTCAATTGATCAGGGTTTGCATTCTAGGGAGGAAAAATTGCAAGATAACATGTACAGTTGCTCATCCATTATCATTTCAAGAAGATGCACGTTTCGTTGAGCTCCTAGAGTTTCATACAGGTATGACATCAGATTGAACCTTTAACTGTAAACACTGCCTGTTTGCCCTCTGCCACATTTTTCAAACTGACACCATCCTGAGAGTATCTGAGCCCCTGTTCCTATTGTGGTCAACATTTTTAGAATTGATATTTCCGTGAAATTGGGCCCAGATGTTACAGAGGCAGACTCCTTACAGTCATTCGATCAGTATACCGATACATATTTGAATACGACGGCATTTCTCGCTGTTACATTTTCCTTTACAACACTCAGGGCAGGCTGTGTAAGCTAGCAAGGCTGAGGTTCAACATACCGGTAATGTGCAGCTTCCCGAGCATTGTGGGTGTGCATGCAAAATTGAAACAATTACAATATAGGTGACGATGTATGGTACATCCAGTTATTGTGCATACTCCGTGAGAGGGAAAGCTTGACAGGCTATTCTGCTACAACACTTCGCAATGACTTGAGGCACAATTTTTGACGACTCGACTCGAGTCCTGACAGGTAAAATGACTCAACTCAAGTCACTGCAAGCGAATGACTTGCCTCCCTCACTGGAAGGCCTGATTCGAGTGACAGTTAATAAGACTTGAGTCGAAAACATAAAAGCAAAGTTCCTTGCCAAAAAAAAGTCGCAGTGACTTACAGTGCCGCTTTATAATCTTCATGTCATGTGGTACGATCAACGAGAGTAAGATGTGGTATGATCATAAGTATACATGCATGTAGAAACCCAGAGGTCATTTTAAAAATGATCAAAATGATTTTCTTTCTTGTTTTTATTTACAGTTTTGTGCTCAAATATAAGTGACTAGATTTGGCTCGAGCTTAACACTTGACTTGACTCGACACAATGTTTTCGCCTAATGTCCCCACTCGACTTGAGTCACTGCATTAAAATAACTCGACCTGAGTCATTTCGTTGCAACGACTCGACTTTTTGGGACTCATTACAACTCTGTGCCACGAACAAGATTTGATATCAGTGTCCTCTGACTGGAGAGTTTGGTTTTTGTACGGTACCTTTGATTGTTCATCTCTCATTATGGGACCAAGTGTCCTAAACTAACAGTGTGCATTCTAGATTTGAGGGGATTGTAGCGAAGGGAGGGGATTTCATACCGGCACATGTACATGTACCTAAAGGGACGGGTTTACAAAGTACGTGTACATGAATTGGTATAGCACTAAAAAATCGGGACAGTTCAAGAGATGCCTGCCCCTGTGCGGTGCTCAACGAACCCAACAGTTCTGGGGGTACGCTCGCCCTGCAGTGCCTAGGCCTAATACTAGGCTACATATACACTGTACAGTGCATGTTAATTGAGATGGAGTCCGAAAGCAAAGGCTTGGTATTACCACCACAGGCTCAAGTAAATCTTTTAGACATTCATTGTTACTAAATTCAAAGAATAGCCTCCAAGATACAGTACAAACAGTCTCATCTATTTAGTCTCATCCTTCATTTTCCCATAAAATTTAACGACGACTCAATCAACAATGGCAGGTGCATGTACCTGCAGACATGTACCAGTAAGCTACGGCCTATTTCATTTTCACGAGCCATTTAACAGAGTACAACAACCATGGCAGCATAGAAGTTGATTTTTTGTACACATGCAGACATAACAAGCATGATAGAAGCAGTCATAAACTTCAGTCGTGCAGCCATGGAGGAAGGAATACGTCCATGCACAGTGCAGCCAAAGGATCACAGACAGGGGTCTGCGTGTCGGAAAACTGGGCAGCGTTGTGTCGGCTAAAGTGGTTAAAGCACAACCCATCAACCTGTTCAAAAGTCTGCTCAATTCACATTGGAGAAAAAAAGGATAAGGGCTTAAATCTTATCTACAGCATTTCCTGAGCAGTAAGTAAATGTACTCACATTTGATGGGTTCCTTATGCTTTGGCATTATGAGTGTGGCCCAGCAATACCAATCCGTTGGTAGGCCTAGTCGAAACTGCATTTTCTCAATCAATCTTCCCCCAAAAGCTGTCAAAACTAAATGAAATCTCTTTAAGACACCAATGTGACGGTTTTTTTGGACTGTGAAACCAGCTACCCGGTATTTTTGGCAAAATCCGGATCTTTTGACTTCCAATCCTGCCTCTTGTCACAACACACAGGCATGACAGGCGTGTTAAAGAGATTTCATTTCATTTTTGACGACTTTTTTGGGGGGGAAGATTTGATAACAAAAATGCAGTTTCGACTAGCCAACCAAAGGAATGTTATTGCTGGGCTTAAATTTCAAAAGCCAAACTGTAAGTACACACAGGCCTAATCCATCAAAAGTGAGGAGCCATAAATGCAGTAAGGTCAACGGAATAACTAGCGTTGTACATGTACCCTCATGTAGATCTAATCTTACTTCAATCGAGTTAAACTTAAAGTTTGAAAAGTTTGAACTTATGTAAACTACATAACTGTAAAGGCCTTTTTCTTTTTCTGCTTCCTGGTGGTGTGCCAACTTCATAAACTTGAAGACTCACCACATTAATGGATAGGCAGTTCGTGGATGGACAGCAGGTGGACTCCGTCCAAATGGGTCAAATCGTACCCGGGTTAACTTGTACCCCGGTCAACTCGTACCCCAAAATATGCACCCAAGTTAACTTGTACCCAGGTTGGTTCGTACCCGAGTCAACTCGTATTCTCCACGCCCAGTCAGCAGAGAATATGCAGAGCACAATATGGGATTTGATACTCGCATTTATTCAATGCAAACGTATGTACATGTATGAAGCATATAAGTTCCTTTTACAAGTCAGATTTCGTTGAAAAATTCTCACCGTGTTTAGGAAGTAGAACATAAAGGGCATCTGACTACAGAAAGAAATGTGTTTTCTCTCATTCTTTTTCTTTTCTGACCAATCACGGTGGCCTGGGATGGGAAATTTCTGTAATTTGGTCCCTGCACAACCAAAAAAAAACCCGACAGAATTGAAACGAATAGAATTGTAATCATTAATCAAATAAAATTTAATCGTCCAGCTTTCGTTTGTGCTTGTGGGACCACACTTTCACCATGTTAGAGAAAAATAGGACAAAAGGGAAGAAAAGTTATCGTAATCCCTTCGGGGTATTAAAAGAGAGACAAATTATCGTAATCTCTTTGGGGTAAAAAAGGAAGAAAACAAGCCAAATCTCTGTGGGTCAGAAACGAGTGTGTCATCGTCGAAGGTACTATGAGTTGACTGGGGTATGAGTTGACCAGGGCACGAGTTAACTCGGGTCCGGGTACGAGCTGATCCAAAATCGACTCCGTGACCATACTACAGTTTATGTTAATGAAGCAATCTGGGCAGCTAGGCTAGCATAGGCCTTAGCTTAGCGCATAGGAGGGCCATTTCCTTCCTTATAACTTGTATTAATATTAATGATATTCATCATGTCTTTACCACAGCCATGACAGCTACATGTACATCATTACATGTACATGTAGACTAGAGGCCTAGATAATGCAGACATGATGTAACCTAGGTTGAATACACAACAGAGAAAGTCACAACCGACAACGAATGGCTACGACGATCACCACAACTTTCCACCATATCTAACTCCCTCGATATCAAAATCATCTACTCACCATGAAAATCTTCCCCAATCCAACAAAACTCTCTCAATTTCGTAGCTTCTCTGTACTGTAACGTCGCACTTTTTCACGCCAACTTAATTAAGGCATCGTGACGTTCAATGGTTCTAGTCTGAAAGCAAACCATGACGTCATAAAAAGAGGTCGGTCAAGCTGACTTAGACAAGTCTCCAGTCCTTCCACTGCTACTTTGTTTACTCACAAAAATGCGACTGACATCTGCCAGAGGGCGCTCACAACGAAAAGCGAAGAAAACCTACCAGAACGTAGCCGACGGTTTGATTACCTGCTGCAAAATATAGCTTTTCAGTTGTTTTTTTTTGTTTTTTTTGCAATAAATTGTACAAGTAAAAAGTTCCACACAAAATGCGTATGAAATCGAGGCTCAACGTGTGGCCTCTGAGTCACGTATCTGAGTGGATTCCATTTTGAACTTTGTTTAATTTAGATCTTGGAAGTTTATCTACTTGTATTCTTTAATCATGGTGAGCCGGATTCACGATACGTCTACTATACTGGCAGATATATCTGTCATACAAAGAAGATTAGACATGGCGGGCAGGAAAAGCAGCACCTGTCACCGTCTTTACTGGACATGCTTGATGTACTGCATGTGCCATCTGGTTAGGAGTTTCTCTACAGTTGTATTTGAGTTTGATTAAGTTAAAACTACCATGGAAAAGTATGTAAACCTGGATGAATGGGTATGCCTTCCGAGTCCTGAATGCAGAGCGCGAAGCGTAGGTGCGAGAGACAGATGCCTCCGTAATGTGTGACCACGGTGTGACACATGTGAACGGACCTGGATTCACAGCGTGCACAGGTGCCTCGAAGTCTGCTTATCAGGCTACTGCAGACTCGGGCCTATACGTCTGGAGTTGCTAAAATTGCGAGCTTTCAATATTTTCAATAGTTTGTTGGGACCAACACATGACAAACTGACAGTTGGAAGGATAAGCACCACCACGGGGGGGGGGGCAGGATGATATCGACATTCTGTTAAGAGAAATTTACATTGCTTATTGATTAACTGTCAATTATAGAGGAAAAATGGCTAATCTACAAGTCCTTGTAAAGGTGTATCAACTAGATATTATTTGTGGTATATAGTCATGGCTATTACCATCTATGAAGTCTTTATTAGAAAAGACAGAGATGAGGTATTGAAACACCACGGGGGGGGGGTCCAGGCAGTTTCAACCCAGTTGGTGTGAAATGAATGTTCCAACGTGGACGGTAAAATTGTGAAGTTATATGGACGGAAACCAAAACCAGTAGGCCTAAATCCAAAGTAGTTATCATTGGAATATTTTATCGATCGCTAGATGATAAACTTGGTCAACAAATTGACGAGCTGACGAAATCTGTTGCTGTACTTTAAAGGAAAAATAAACTCTAATATTATTTTGGGAGATTTTAACCGGCCAAACAGAAACTGGACAGGATCACATGGTCACTTAATAAGACGGCTGGGAGTAAGCTTATCAAGATGGCTACCGAATATGGCTTCAAGCAATGTGTAAAGAGCCAACTCGGTCACAGGGAGACGTATTTACGTAGTACGTAACATCCTTGGTTCTCGTTGTTAATTAGAAAAACGCGCCAAAATCCGTCTTAAGTGACTGCTCGAGGCGCAAACAAACACTTCTACAAAATAGAATACATCAAATACATTATAACAGTTACTGCAAAGGTAAATACAAATATATGAAAAACATTTACCGCAGGTCTGATCTGATTAACTAGGAAACAAGAAGGTTTTCAAGGCTGCTTTAAATCCTAAGAGTGATAAATTGCAAATAAGGGAGTTCCAGAGTAAAGAGTCCACATGAGCGAAAGACGGATCCCCCATGTGCTGTTGGCCTACGTATGTGGGATGACAAGCAGAAAAGCATCAGATGATCTGAGGCGCCTTGGTGGATTATACGCAGATAACAAATCAATGTTGTATTGAGGAGCAGTACCATTTAAGCAGCGGTAAACCAGCAGTAACAGCGTGCACTTAATTCGTTTAGCCACAGGGAGCCAGTGCAAAGAAAGCAGAATGGGAGTAATGTGAGCTCGGAGCTCGCGTCACAACGCGGGCAGCAGAATTCTGAGGTCTCTGAAAACGATCAAGTTGATTGCGGGGTAACTGATACAACAAAGAGTTGCAAAAGTCCAAACGAGACGAAATCAAAGCATGGACAAGCCTCTCGGTGGCTGAGCGGGTTAGGTACTTCCGAATGATATCCAGATTACGGAGCTAAAATCTAATGGGCTTACAAATATTGGAAACATGGTGAGACATTGACATAAACGAGTCAAAAATGGCCCCAAGATTTCTGCAGGTTTCTGACACATACACGGAAGAAGTGTTTATGTTAATGCTGTTGACATTGATTTTTGCAAGCTGTGACTTCGATTCCAACAGAATTAGTTCTGATTTATCACTGTTAAGTTTAAGAGCTCAAACACATTAATGTCAGTAAAGCGGGATTCGAGTCTAAGGAGAGCACGTAAGGCATCCTCTTGATTTAGAGCAAATGGCAGAAAGGGCTGCACGTCATCAGCATAGCAGTGGTAGTTGAAGGGACTGCAAAACTTGCTTACGACCACTAAGGTAAATGCTAAACAACAATGGCCCACCTACAGATCCCTGAGGAACTCCGTGTTTTAGCTCAACAAGATCAGATATGACGTCATCGATATACTGTGCAGGCAAGTCACATAGTATGGACCTCTGCACAAAAGAAGTCCACATAATGTAGGGTATGATGACGTTGTGTGGACTCGCACACGTCCACACAATGTTTTCCCCTCTCTAAAATTTGTTTCAGAGGCACTTTGGGGTCGAAGTTATTTGTGGCAAAATGAAGAGGAACAGTCCAGGAAATCATCATAAAAATGCAGCTCGAACGAGTCATCCTAGTTGGAGAAAAAGGAGCATTTCCCTCAAGTTTCCTTAACCACAGGAGAACAAAGGAATGCATCACAGTGGATTAAAACCATATTGACCCATATCAGGACTGTAAAAGGGTCCAAATTCCTAAAAACTATATTAAACATGTTTGAACATCATCTCCAAATACAGTTTGGGATACTCCATTTTCCACGGCTTCTACTCGCAACTCATCTAATATCGCGTCCGTTTGCCAGGTCCCACTTCCTCTAGGGGATCAACTCTCGGGTGAGTGCAAACATCAGCTTCAGCCTTTTTGGACAAGCTTCCTCAACAGTAATTGATGATGTGTCATTTGTTTTGGAGATGGCTCTTTCTCAAAAATTAGAAATGATTCATCAAGGAAAATTTCTTGAATGCTAAGGGGGGAGGGTAGTTAGTGGGGAGTGCTTAGTAGGACGCACTTACAGGAAAGAAAAGAAAATCAAACTGTACCAATTAACGGTATGTCTTCCATTTTTATTAGAAATACTGGTCCTTTCAGGGGCAGGCCACTTGACCCCAACTTGGCCTGTATTTGCCAGTGATAAAATAATCCCAATGAATTGCCAAAGATTGGCACTAATCCACTCACTCGACATTCCCACTCTTGCAGGTTGGTTAGACTCAGTGCTTCCAAGTGGTATTTAAATAAGTCTTTAATTAGACACGAGGGAGTGCTAAGCTCTACAAAAAAGTTTAATTCCATATGGAGCTGCTTTAAATAATAATAACAGTAATATTTATTTGGGGCAATTGAACATACAAGACAATCACAAGACACAGCGGGCCAGGAGAACATAAAAGTATAAAAATAAACTGTCGCCAAAAGGCGTATACCTCCCAAGACCCAAATACGGTAAGGCAAGAAATAGCGTAACAAAAAATAATCATTATTAAGGTAAAAATAAAAATATGACAATGGGTTGAAAAAGAGCTTAGCCAGCAAAGTGGTCCCTTCAGCTCACTCAAAAACTGACGAAGAGGGGCGCATATCAGATTAGCCAATTAAGTCACTCGGCAAGGTGCTCCAAATACGTGCGAAATGGCAAGGCATGGGGAATTTAAATACGTCAGCGCGGGTTGACCAAGAACTTATTTCATCTAAATCTGTGTGGAGAGACATCAAATCGTTTTCCCCTTGAATCTGCCGGTATGAAAAAAGTGTCATCTGCATACTGCCGAGGGGGATTTGAAAGATGTATTAAATGTAAGTCATTTATATAAATGTTGAAAAGTAGAGGCCTAGGGCCCTAAGACGGACGCCTGTGGAACTCAAGATGTAACATATTAGACCAGACAGATTCAGCACCATGGGAAAAAACTCTTTGCTTTCTCCGAACAATATTTGTTTCACTCATGGAAAATGTTTTCCTGAAAAAAAAAAACAAGTTTGACACGCGGTTTGTCAGTGAACACTACCATAATTATTTACACAATTATTGTGTCTTCTTGATTACTGAATACTTGAGAAATTATGTAGGCATAACGTTTTGCCATAGCGCCACCATTCATCAGTGGCCCACGGAAGTGCAAATAGTAACATGCATTATTCAATGTCACGTGACACAAGTGGCGTCATGCATATGCTGAACAAAGGTAAAAGACAGGCATGCATGCATATTGCGCACGTAGCTAGATAGCTAACCAGGCAAGGCAAAGACGCTCATTTACATGGGGCATTAATTCTCGGCACCGGTCGGAACCCTCACTTTCTCAGGCTCTGTCTTCAGCAAAACGGCCCGAATCATCGCTGAAAACCCCATCCACACCTTGTCCCATGCCTTCAGTTGGGCCTCGACGGCTTCAGTTGATTCCAGACATTGCATCAGGTGAGATTTTTGGCGTTGTCGCCCCTCATTATTTTCCGGAATGAGTCGGGATATGTCCAAGTCTGACGCAGCACGCGGAACCGGGCAGCGTAACGTCGAGGTTTTAATATTCAAAATGGGGGACCCGTCTGCCAACAAGCAGCAAGAAGAACAGCGAGGTATGAATTGTTTTACATATTCATATTTTGCAATTTAGCATAAAATCATAATATCGTGGCAGGATGTGTCACAAAGTTGGGGATTTGCATGCCACTTTGAACTTGGTTTGGGGTAGTTTTCTTCGAGGGAAAGGGGCGCTGAAATGGCAGAATGAAGCGATTCGCATTTGTTGGCTGTGTTCGTCCACCATGGCTCGTCTGATCGTGCACTTGCCACGTACCGTTTGCCATGCGCAGTGAGTGTGATTGCGAATAAAATTGGTCACAAAATGCTGCCGTAGGCCTACCCGACGACATGACGCATCGTGGGAGGAGTTCTGATGGGGGGGGGGTATAAAATGCAGTTTTGAAGAAATTTGCCCGCCATGAAGTTAATAAGAGATAGGCCTTGTGCACGACATGTTCGGTATTTGGTTCATTAGGCCTGTTTGGGTTTTGTTTTTTTCTTTTTAACTTGTCATGCTTGTATTTTTTGTAAGTTGTAACCCGCCTATGCAAAGATAGCAATCTCAACACAGTTGTCCTATCACTCAAAATTAGTCAAGTGACATACATACATTGTACATGTACATGTATAATGCATCGTTTGTCTATTGTGTACAGGGGAAGTGGAAGGATTTTTTGACTGTTCTTGACAGTTACAGCAAAAGGAGGGCCTACCACCATGACCATAGAGAAATCTGTTTCTTTTTTCTTCTTATTCCTGCATGGTCTGACCATGGTCTGACCACCATTGAGCTATTAAAAAGGGAGGTTTGACCACGGAGGAAGGGTCTGACTGTAGGCCTACACATGGTACAAACACGGAGTGTACCGGTACATGTACATAGTAGGTCGTACCATCATGACCATGGAGGTGTCGTCAGGCCCCCTAAATCTATGCAGTCCTATTTCTACACACTCACCTTTCAGTGAACGTTTTGCGGACGCGCGCGCACTATTGAACTGCCAGCGGTAACTTGTGTCATTTGTCGGCATTCAGAAGTTTTGCAAAAGACCCTACAGTTGGAAATCTAATCAGTAACCTTAGTTTATGCATGAAATAAATAAATGACCCTTTTTGGGGGAATTTTCCCAGACACAAATATCTCTTGAGTCCCCCCAAAATTGAGGAAGCCTTCATGTCATCCTGCATGTACAGTTCGCCCTCTATTGTCTAGCATGTACTTTTAATGTGTCACTTGATTTAAAATTTGTTGACTCGGTGAAGCACTACAGGGGTGCAAATAGGACCCTTTTCTTAGTTTTGAAGTTTCAAAATGTCATTTTTTGTTTCTTTTGTCAATTGAGTGATTCATTTGTCATTTTTAGTTTTTGTTTCTCGGTTTCCTCCTCGGTAGAGAGGTAGATTACTTGGGTTGACACTGCGTTGCCCATGTTCATGAATAAAGGCAAAGGTGGGATGGGATTCATGCCCCAGCCTGATCACCGCAGAAACTGTTTATGGGAGGGGGTGTGTGGGGGATGGGGTTGTTCACTAATGGGGGTGGTTACAAGGCGTGTAAATAACAAAGAACATTGACGGAGCGGCATTAGGTCTACCAGCACCAGGAAGGTGTTGTCGAAGGACATTCAGACTATCTGTCTTTTCTTAAAAAACGTTCATTATTATGATTACAGATTTATTTTGGAGGGGACGTTAGAGACAAGGTGGATGTTGATGGTTAATATGGAGCCATGGGGTGTACAGAAGAGGGGGCAGACCACTGGAGGATGTTGGGTACCATATTTAGTGCTAGCTAGGCTAGTGAAGACTGTAAAACTGACAATGACCAAAGGACACATTAAGAGACTTTGCTTTTAATTTATAATGCAAGAATGTTAAATATTGACAGGCTAAGGAACCTCATGTTATAAAAGGTGAAAATAACATTCTTTATTAAAATTCATTTCCCTGTTACTGATTTTTAAGAAGTTATTCAAATGAACTAGAAATGGCTACTCGAAAATTTGAAGTACGAAGCTGTTTAAATTCAAAGAATATACATACATGTATGTGCTGTTATGATGTCAAACACCAGAACTCGCATTTTCAATAAACATATCTTGTTTTGCACATCTTGGCCACCGTAGATTTCAAAGACTGCCGGCCGCTTAGATGTAGGTGGGGATTTTTGCACACACCTTTGGTCAAGCGTACTAAAAGCTGCCTACTCCTGGGCACTAAAAGAAGTCACTTTTTTGTGTGAATTGCTTCAATGACAGACTGTGAGTTGTAGAAATAAAATCACCTCTGAAAAATTGCAACTGCACTGTGGTTTCTGGAAATCTTGTTTCAAAGCCTTAGGTGCGCAGAAATAGGATGAGGATCAAGGATACATGTAGGAAGTGTCACAAGACACCTGTTGAGTAAAATTCTTACTTTGTACAAACTCCTTGAGTAAGAATTTAGGCCTGTCATCAGTTTCAAGAACCATTAATTTAACTGCTATGCAACGTTCTTCATAGACATCAGACCATCATTGATTTGCCAATTAGCAGCTGTCTGTAAAAACTACAGAAACAACGAGTAGAGTCCCCTAAAATCAGTTTCCACAAGTTGATGTCCTCAAGTAAATCATCTCTGAATTACATGGAGACTGTACGAGTTTGGTACAAACATCGGATTACATTTGGGCCCTTAAAGACTTAAAAAAAAAAATCAACATCAATATGAGAACACCACTTTGACTGAGTTGTCTGATATTTTTCAGGTTTTAATTTTTTTTGTTAATTAAGGTTTCTCCACGTTGGTATTGTTATGGGTACATGTACTTCAAGAAAACAATAAATATCCCTTGACGTGGACCAGTGCACAATACATTAGGTACAGGTCTCTAGCTGTGACTGATAATAGTGTGTACGGGTACCAGTGACGTTGTCACGGGGGGCCGGGGGGAGGGGACCTGCCCCCACGAATTCCCGGTGCCCCCAGGTACCCCCCCCTTGAAAAAATGGATGAACTGAACAAGGCTTAAGTCCAGAGTTTTGGGGGTAGAAAGTGGAAAACGCAATTCTCGGTTACAAATAATAAATAAAACAAATGAATACTTTTGATCGTTTCTGCACAATTAATTAAATACATAAATGTATGAACCCATATTAGGAATGACAACTCATTTTCACTGTTCAACTCACTTTGAAAGTAACATTTGGTCCTGTTTTTCCTTTGCGATATTGCAGAATTGGGTATTGATTTCCTCCGACCAGTCCAAGATCACTTGGCATGCTGCGTGTAAGCCCTACACGTGTATCATTATGCCAAAAATACCTGCAGATGCACATGTACATGTATGGTAAATGTACGGTAGGCCTACAGTACATGTACATACATGTATGTACAGTCACATACTGTTTTTGTACACAAAATTTCGAAAACAGAAGAAAGCAGAATTTTTCTTTCAGAAAGCCGAAAATTCTTGACTTTAAACAAGACTTACGGGTACAAAAGGTTGGCCTTAAAAGAACCACACCTCTGAAAGCTGGTGCCCCCCATGGGATGCTGTGCCCCCTTGTGCCCCCCCTACAGGTACCGGAAGATTTTCTGTAGGTCTACCATCTGAATTAGATTTTCAATCGATACATGTACACTGTACGTGTATCAATCTCTAAAACCGTTCCCCCTTCTTGAACACACTCTAGAAAGTGGCCCTACAGGCCAAACGTCTAGACTCAGGTGCACGTTATGACAACAGTTTTTAAGTGGCACAGGTAAGTTTAGCAATGCAGACATCCCCAGATCATGTTTATGCACAAACAAGACACACAAGTTTCTCATTGCGTGTGGTGTTTTGATGATGTTGCATAGATGTAATGACAATCTCCTTCACTGAGAGACAAGGAAGCAACTTTGTGTGGCCTTAGGCCTATTCCTGCACAGAAATCTACTGCGTTTCTCAGCTGACAAGCAGTGTTTATCCTGACCAGCCTCAAGTTCAGTGAAACCTGATAAAGTGCATCTTTTGGCAATTCAAACTTTGTAGAACAGATCAAGGTTTGATTTGAAAACAATAACTACAAACAGAAGTTTTAAGTGGTTAGTTTTAAAATGACCAAAGTTTAGAAACTGTCTCCAAATGTGATGTCCATTATAGTGGAATTGCCTTAGCTATGATCTAACTGCTCTGTTGACGCCACAATCGTGTTTTTCGTAAAAGTACATCGTAGTTGCTACACAATGTACATGTACATACATGTACATAGTGTATGGCTGGCCGTCAGTACAGTAGTAAAACAATCACAAACCATTAAATACCACGCAGATATACAAAAACAAGAAAATACAACTCTGTTTGAAAGTAATGGGACAGATCATACATGCCCATTTTTAATGATTTTTAGGGAAAATTGAAAACCAACCAAAATTTGAGGTCAAATTGAAAACCAACCACAATTTGAGGTCAAATTGAAAACCAACCACAAGTTGTGGGCCAAATGAAAGTGGTCTGTGGGAGATATACATGTACTGTACATGTATGGGCAGTCCTGAGGAGGTACCGGTGCCGGTAGGCCTACTGTACATGTACATACATACAGCAGAAATGAGGAGATGCACTTCATGTGTTTATTAAATGCATGTACAGTGTATGCACTAAACTTATTGGTTTTCACGAGTTGTTTTGGAAAGCCCATAACTTGCCTAATGCCACATTGCTGAAAAATGAGGCATTTCAGTATGCAAAAAACCAGCCGGTCTTACCCAAATGAAAAGAGGAGATGCGATGTGAATTTCAATGACTGGAAAAATGAACTGAAACATATTCACTGTGAATAAATTTGGCAATATTGGATTTAAGCCTTCCAATTCCATACATGCCTAAGTGCATTTTAATACAGCATACTCGGTGTCCGCATAGTTGGCTACTTTGTCATGCATATGTATTATATGTTCGCACGACCGATGCGGGAATAAATTACTTTCAATTCCTTTCAAGTGAAAAAAACATTTGCATTTTGTATTGAAAGCTTGCGTGATGCATTATGCATGGTTTAGGGAATGTGGCACTGTGTTTGGGAGTACA